AACTGAGCACTTTGAAAAGTCAAATGATATTTAAAATGTAACATCAACTGTTTTATGTAACACATACCTTGCAGCTTCTTATCTAAGTCACGCATATGAGCATATTTATAGTGCAGTTCCGATGGCAGTGAGGCAATGTCTGTGGCCAAAACAACAGTAACTTTTACACATGAATGCATTTGAAATAAATGCAGAGATGTTCAAGAGGATTGAACTCCAAAAAGAAAGCTTAAGATCGAGCCAGGTTTTTGGTTCCTATAATAGCATTAAAACATTATAAACGACAAGGAATCATGCAAGAATAATTTATAATATATGGTGTTCCTAACAAGTATGGACTACTATGAGTCTTGTTTGAGGTTATGAATCTCATTGAGGTTACCTTAATCTTGCACAAATCTTTAAACCCAATGACTAGAGATCCATGAGAGAACAGACACCATGTTAGGCCTTTTATGTTATCATTTTTGTTATGCTTTTCAATATATTGAAGTGAAGCACAATGAGTATCAAATCCAAGGCACTCTTTCATTTGAGTTTGTTCTTAAAGTCAAAATAAGATTGTATCTACACATGCTAGAATCGCAATGATTCATATTGACCAACTTATTCAACTGAAATATTGTGCATCATGACATGAACAAATGAAGGTGCTTCTACTGAGAGAATCATGTAAAGGTTCTCATTTTTCTTTTGATATATTGCAGACCTCGCATTCTATATGCTTTTGACTTTCATTGTTCAAAAAAGCAGACCGCCCAGCGCCTAGGAGGCTGCCTAAGGGGTCGCCTAGGCGGTCCAAAAGGCTTGGGCGCATCACCTAGGCCTAGGCGGCCAAACTGGGCGGCAGTACCTGGGCGGTACGAAACCCGCCTAAGAGGGCGCCCAACGCCTAGCCTTGGGCATCCTCCAAGGACTTGCGCCCCGCCTAGGGGCGGAAATGAGTTTTTTGTTTTTGTTCTATTGAGGTTTTCTAAAACATAAAGGCTCTTAAGAATGGGTTCTAGGTTCATTTGAAACCTAAACCCACAAGAACCCAGGCTTTTAAGGATGGATTTTAGGTTCATTTGAAACCTAAACCCACAAGAATTAGAGAGAAAGAAACCTAAAAAAAAACTAAATTTTGTGATTTTCGTTGGATCGAAGTGTTTCTCAAAGTTACGGAAATGGATCCAAGCATCACGCAGGTAGATTAGATTTACTTTTGGAGTTTATTAATCCTATTAGAAGGTGTTTTTTATTATTTTAACATCAAAAAACATCTCAGAGGTGGGAGTTTGAAGTTTGAGCAATCAAAGTAAGTGGCAAACTTTATGTTTTAGATTGCTTGTTTTATTTTCATATGTCTTCAAGACGATCTAGTCAAAGTGGGGATCCGGGTTGGAAATATGGATATAACCCAAATCCAAATGACAAAATTGCATTAGATGTAATTATTGTAAAAAAGATACAAAAAGGGGCATAAACCGGTATTACGGGGGATGTTGCCCCTTGTAAAAATGTTCCTGAAGTTATCAAAGAGGAGATTAAGCAATATATGAGTTCTGTAAAACAAAAATAGGAACAAAATCGTTGTCATTTGAATAGATCTATTTTTGGTTTGTCTAGAAAAAGTGATCCGAGTTGGAAGTATGGTTATAACCCAAAACCAAGAGATAAAAATTTTATAAGGTGTAATTTTTGTGAAAAAGATACCAATGGGGGTATTAACCGATTCAAGAAACACTTTGCTGGTATTAAAGGGAATGTTGCTTCTTGTGAAAAGGCTCTTGAAGCTATTCAGGATGAGATTAGATAATTTTTGAATTTAATAGAACCAGAAAATGATGAAAATGAGCCTTGTTCTATAGAAATATCTTCTCCAGGTTCTTCTAGAATCCGGGTTGGAACTATAGTTATAAACCGAATCCAAATGACAAAAATCATATTAAATGTAATTATTGTGGAAAGAAAACTAATAGGGGCATTTACCGATTTAAAAAACACCTTGCCGATATTAAGAGGGATGTTGCCCCATGTAAAAATATTCCTGAGGTTACCAGGGAGGAGATTATATAATATTTGAGGTCAAAGAAGCACAAAAAGATAGAAAATGGTAGAGCAGCCAAGACTCCTAGGGCCTCATCTATACATACTAGTAAGAAGGAGGTAGAAGAAGAGGAGGAGGAAGATGCATATTCAGAAGAAACAAAAAAGGACGAGCGTTATATTGGAGAGTTGAAGAGGGAGATGACTCTGATGATGATGTCCTCAAATCTGATGCATATGATGAGGCTTACCCTATTCCTTCTAATGATGATAATGATGACTAAAGAATGAAGAGTTGAAGACGGTTGAGCGCTTGACTCTTGGTGTTGAGTGCTGACTATTGTGTCCTAGACTGTATATTTTCTGAATTTCCATATATTCACTTTTTCTTATTTTTAGTTTCTATCTGTCTAACTTTTGCGTGTACAGTGTATCAGACTATTCGTGTATGCTTGTATGGTTTTACTGTTTTAACATTGTATGAAAATATGGATTTTGGTCTTATGGATTTTCAAAATTCTCTTCTCGACTTCTATCTTTTTTTCTTTTTTTTCAACTGAACCGGCGGCCGCCTAGGCGCTGGGTTGCCGGGACCCCACGACCGCATCGGTGTCACTTAGTGCTTTTTGAAACACTGTTGAGCCGTTAACTTTCATCATAAACTATTGGCCGTAAAATCCATGAACATATGGCAACCTATGTTATGTAGATATAGCAAAACTCATGGACATAACATCATCTTTTTCTTATCATTTTTTGCATATGTTTGACAAGCATCAAATACCGACATTGTTGGAATTATGTCCTTTCAAGGTCTTAAATTCTGCCATTTTGGATAGCTCTTACCTTCAATGGGAGTAATAGAGCAACATGACTCTAGGACCAAAAGTCATGAAACCATGAGTGAGCCATAATGAGGATTTATATGCATAGGAGGTACCGAGAGGGTTGAGGTTACCTCTTTGTCAGGGTTGGTTGTTATGTTTGTGCCTCATGACTGTGTTATGGGTGAGGGCGATACGATTTATGTGTTTATGTGATTATGTGATATGAGCTCGATGATGAGATAACCCTATACAGGAAGATTGGGCCAATAGAGGGCATTGACCTAAATTCTTGACTCTTAGAATCTTCTCATAACATGTGCATAAACACTCACAATGCATGGGAAGCCGCTCTTCTAAGGATCCACTGGTCAGAGTTATGCACATGTGCAAGAGAGGAACCCTTGTACCATTTGTGTGCATGTACTTTAAGGAGTGCTCTTGAAATCCACTTATAATTGGGGATCCAAGGTCACTCATTAGTTTGACTTTCATAGACTAAGACCATGAGCCATTGATTATACATTGTGGGTCATGAGTCTATTGGGTCATACCGAGAAGGTGGCTTTGGATTCTGGATCTAATCGAGTGGAGCGCTCTGATTCCTAATTCAACTCCAAGGATCCTAATTTCCCTTGTAAATGTTTTCAAATAATGCTAAAATGATTTATTTTGATAAAAAAACCATCAAAATGGTCTTTATGGAATTTTGAAAATTTTATAGATTTTCTGAGCAAGAAAATGCATTTTCTGAAATTGTTTGGGCTTAATGACAATTGAGGATAGTCCCCCAGGACCCACACGAGACATCCAAATGACCAATGGGTGACCACCTGGAGGGCTAGGGGTCCCATGTCATCCCATGTGGAGGGTGATGTGGGGGTAACGTCAACCCCCTTGGGGAACCCCATGTCCTTTTGTTATTTGTTGAATTAAGTGAAGGGCATAGTATTATGGTATTTTATGGAATATTGTGATTTTAGAAAAATATTGAGCACATGTTAAATATGAAAAGAGAGGGGTTTGTGCACAAGCGTGAGGCTTCTAGAAGGGGCATAGGGTTTGTAATTACAAGTCTAAACCTAAGGATATGTGGTAATTTTGCACTTAATCACCTACGTTAGGTGGGATGATTTCATTTGCCTCACATGTTATTAATAAACAGAGGGAACTTTTGAAATTTGCTCTTTGCTGGAATTTTGACAAATTACCGCAAGGGTATGCCCTCCAACTTGGTTTTTGGTTCAATTAAATATAAAGAGCACGGTTATTTTAATAACAAGGGAAATTAGAGTGAATTAAATGGAGGATAAAGTTGTTTAAATCCATACCACACATCTTGATGGTATGATGGTGGATGGTGGGCTATGATCACACCTCTTTTTGTAGCCATTGGATGATAACATGGAAGGCCAAGATTCATCTATCTATAAGCATCTATACACTTAATGGATAGAAGCCTATAAATACCCCTTTAAGCCCTCATACCACATAAGAGTTCACTCTCTTTCTCTCTCTAAATGGCACACTACTCTCTCTCTATCTACCTCTCTAGAGTGGCACATGCCTAGGCAATCCCTTCTTCCTTTCTCTCTTCAAAAGTACGAATGGGGGTGATGTTAGAGAAAGCTCCATAGAAGCTCCATGATGACTCCATTAATGGTGATTCAAAGCTCGAATTCAAGCCATGGATGATCAAGTCTTAAGGCCTTCATCAATGGAGTGACATCTTCTCATTTTCCTTTGATTCTAGTTGATTATCCTAGCTGTAAATTCCTAATTACATCAAGCTATCTTCATCAATTTGATGTTCAATCATTGATTTCTTAGACGTATCTTAATCCCCTTTAATTCATATAGTTGAAGACATCATCCATGCACAAATCGATCTAGTTTCCATGAGCTTTTTCTTATGAATTTTGTAGCATTTTTTACTGATATATTTATGAGATTTTCATGACCAAATCAGTCAATTAGATCTTCATTTTGATGCATCAAATTGTTGTTTTCATAAGAGGATATTATACCAAATTTATGTGGCTCGATTTGTGAACTCAATTGAACTGGTTTTGTGTTCTAAGAGCCACGATTTTTCCCACGGTTTTCCACCTAATTTGATCACTTTTTCCAAATCCTTCTATGTTTTAAGTGTATATCAATAGATTTTTGGCTTCCCACTCTTGAGATGATGAATTTGGCCGAATTTTGAGTTATTACGTCGCATGTCATCCAATGGCACGTAACTAAGATCCAAGGCTGTAAGCTCTAATCGGCTTCCCATAGACATGTTGTATTATACACTTGAGCATATGTGTTGTAATGTTGGAAGTCATGTCATTTTGAGTTTTATGGAGTTTATTGATGTATAATTTTGCTTTGTAATTTTGAGTGGTGTAGAATTTTCAAAAACACCTCATACATGTGTAGTTTGATGATCTCCTTTAGTAGTTTGTTTTGTTGACGAACAAGGGACCCTAATTGAGTTGTATCTTCTATTTTTTAGTGTATTTTGAAGTCCTTTGTTCACTGCAATCACAATAAGCTTGCTGTAATTTCGCGTTGTAAGTTCAATTTCAAGTGTATTATGAGAAATTCAAGTTGTATTCTCTCGAGTGGGACATAGATGTAGTCCAAGTGTATGTAATTTGGTTTCTATACACTATCAGACACAACACTAATTTCTACATATCCATATTAGCCAGTAAATGATATGCTCCAAGTTCAATAATAACCTTAAAAAATATCCTTAAAAGTAAGACGCAAAGCAATTCATTTATAGGATTTAGTTCGTTTGTCACTAATATCATTATTCAGACAAGTTAACAGTATTCTCATCATAGCGAAATTCCACAAAATTGACACAAAGCCTAAGAATAAATTAAGAATGCATGTCTAGAGCACATGTCAAAGAAAAAATGAAGCAGCGAACACCATACAGCAAGTCTCATTATCAAATTATATCCCAGAAAAAAGGTGAAAGAAATTCATTCGATTCACAAATCCTACATTTACAGTGTCAAGGTAAAATTGAATATGAGCTCAGAAAACCCAATGGAAACCCGCTCAGTTATGATCAAAAAATTCTCATAAAAGCACTCATGGTTCTAAAAAAACCTTAGAACGGGGTCTATGTAATTATACAAGGAGGGAACGCCTTATGAACTCCCAAGCTCACAGTGTGAACAAAGTTCATAATTCATCATTGAATCCATTAACTAAACTCACAAAAGAAACAAAGTAACGTCCTGATATCTATAGGGTCTAATCAACTGTACAGAAGAAGATATATGAAGAAATTAGGGCTTGGGGAATTGATCAATCTAGGGCACAGAAACGATTGGAAAAGTGAAGCAATAGAAAAAATAAATTAAATGAAGAAATGGGCCGCATATACTTACGGTTAAGGAACTCATCCAGGAACGCCATTGTTAAAGTCGATGATCACTTCCTTGCTTCTGCAACCCTATCGAACAATGGATCAATTTGGGAATTTTTTATTTTACTATTTTCTTCGTGAGCATAAGGTGTCAACCTCAAACAATCATGTAAGGTCCACCTCAAAATATTGTTATAAAATAAACTTTAGTGGCCAAAACTTTTATAGTACCCTTAAAATATATTGTTCCCCCCTATTCGAAAGGTCCAAAAATAGTACAGATCAAACCAATGAATGAAAAAACTTAAATATCTTAGTGATGGACGGTCTAAATAATATGGTACAAGATACATTATTATTAATATGTAGAATTCAATTTTTCTTTCATATTCATACATATTGAAGTGGAGAGATCAATTTGAGAGTTTCCTAAAGACCAAACAACATTTTTTTATGAGTTTTGAGATGTATCTTTTTTTTATGGGTTTTGAGATGTATTTTACTTGTATAGTATAAGGTTGAATCTTTATATAAATTTTTTTATTCTTCCTATTTTTAGGAGCCGGTTTCCTTGAGGGATAGGGTTTCTATGCGGCCAAGCCCACATATGTAGAAATGTGGGTCTCTTAATAAATCTATTTTTGAGATGGATTTTAAGACCGTTTTTGACAACATATAATTTCTAACATGGAGATCATGAATATAATAAATAAATAATCGGCCAAGCCCGTATATGTAAAAATGCCTCTTAATAAATCTATTTTTGAGATGGATTTTAAGACAATTTTTTAGGACATGTAATCTCTAATATGGAGATCATGAATATAAAAAATAAATAAATTTTAAAAATTAGAAATAAGAGTTTTAATAATAAAACATTTAGACAATTAGTTTCCTTTGTTTGATAAAAAAACCATTTGTATATTTAAGAGGGCTGCTTTACACTTTTTGGACCGGTATAGCCCGCATCAAACAATTTTCCTCATTTTGTTTTTTTAAGGGGCACATACAACATAGACAGAAGAGTGCAAAAGGTGCTTGTCGTTTCTATACCCCCGTAGGATCATATTGTCCACTTGCTCCCCCAAGTAAAAAAGCAACTGACTTTTTGGATTTTGTATTATGAGCAGGTACACAATACATCGGGCCATGCTTGGCCCTAGCCCGGTCCTATTCCCCGTAAGATCAGCTCAGGCCTGATAAAATTAAAGAAAAAATGAAGCAAAACAGATAATAAAGAAATCAGGGTTGGCACTTGCGGAACCGGGGCCTACCTTTTGCCTAGCCAATGCTAGGCCCTCAGCCTTGGTTTTTTAGGGTAAACCTATCAGGGCGAGCCACCCAGCCTATTGCCACCCCTAATTCAGTCCACTTAAGCATCATCATATGATCATTTTTAAAATAAAAAATTAAAATTTGAATAATTTAACACTTATATCGGGCTATTAAAAAATTTGAGGTCCAAAAGCTTAAAGACCACCTCCAAGTGACTACGAAATAAAACTTGGCAATGCTTGAGTTGCACAATCGTGGTCCATTGTATGGTTAGAACGTTCGGGAGTAATAATATATCAGTAAATATAAAAAAGGCAACAGTTGATGTAAATAAAAAGAGTGATGATCCTACGAGACCCTTTCACACCTATGTATGTAAGACTTTAAAGGATCACCGTTAAATTTAGCACAAATCTCTAAAAAAATTATGTGTGGGACTTGACGTGCCAAATTTAATGGTGATCTTTTAGGATCCTACACACATAGATGTGGGATAGTCTCATAGGATCATTACTCAAATAAAAAAACATAATAATTGATGTTAGATAAATTGTTGATGTTATATAAACAATTAGACGTTAGATAGTAAAAAGCACTAAATTCATCTTTCTTAACTATTATTTGTTTCGAACCTTTTAGTTTTGTGTTAAAAAGTACTTTTTAGTTTTGTTTATCAAAAAGAAAAATGTGTTTTATATGGGTTATATGAAAACTTTACCACTTTGGAATTATACGATGAAAAAAATTTGAAAAACTACTTATGGGAAAAAAAAAAAAAAACTTCTTTAAGAATATATTATTCTATATTGTGAAAACCCTTAAGAAATATGTTAATGTGCCGTGAAAAATAAAAATAATTTAAAATTTATAACTTAAAAAATGAAATATTTTATTAGCTAACTTTTTATTTTAAACTTATGATTTGACATGAGAGTTTAAAAATATGGAAAAGTAAAAGTAGAATGAAAATAGAAAAGATAAATAATAAGAAACTCAGACCTAAACTAATTTTCAAGCCTAAAAGCATGCATTTTAAATTTTAAATTTCTCAAAAAATTCGAAGAAAGAATAAAATTGGTGTCCAATTTTTTTCTATTTCCTATATTGGTATTTTAGGTTACATATATATATATACATATATTAGTGTTTATTCAATTGGTAATAAAAAATAAATAAATGGAAACTATTTCAAAGACTAAACAATTTAAATTCACAATTTCAAAATTTAAATATTAGAAATTGGTTTGGTACTTTTAAGCATTTGTTAGTTTTCATAAAGTAGCCAAAGAGAAACGAAAAAAAAAAATGTGAAAAGCACTCATAAAATTTTCATAAAAAAATTGAATTTCATAATTAAATGAAAAATACCTAAAGAAAAAAATAGTTACCAAATCACACACGTTCTTTCTTGACAAAACATTAGTATTTTTACATTTTCTTCAAAATTATATTAGTTTATGAGATTTTTACATGTGATAACAACATTAAGCATCAAATTAAAGTGCAAAATTTTCATTAAAAAATAGCAAATAAAATTTTTAGAACATGAAATTTATTAGCAATTATGAGTTGTCATATCATTTTCTCTAAAGAAAATATTCTCATACTAAGATTGTGAATAAAAAAATAATGTGAAATTCAAATAAAATAACTACATACCTTCACGTGGCAAGGTTTTTCTAGTACAATTTTACATTAAATCTTTGAATGAAAAATACAACAACTTATCTCAGAAAATGAATATGATTGTTGAGCTTCATAGACATGCAAGAGCACTTTCACAAAGTAATATAATTACAAAAGTATGAACATAGATAGCAACAAAAAAGTTAATACAAAAAAGGAAAATAAAAATAAAAACTAATACAAAAATTTACACTGAACTATATTTGAATAATATAAAATAATAAACAAATAAAATAAATTGATAAATTAAAGTCAATAAGTTAAACTGTATATAAATCTTCTCTACATAGAAGGGAGATGGGGAAATGAAAGGCAAAGCTACTTGACCCATGAGTTTTATATATTATCAAAACAAAATTTATTTATTTCTTTGGAGACACAATTGGAAATGTTTAAGTAGATTTTCTTTAAAAATCACATTAAATGTAATAAATGACATAGAGGAAACCCTAATAACTGAACTATTAAAAATTTTCATCCTCAACCATATACTCGACCATATAATAGAAGATGCAATTAAAAAAATAAAAGACAACCTCTAGTTAAAGAAAATTAACATATTTGAGTCATATAAGAACGAAGAACGATAATTTTACATATTTCCTTTCTCAGATTGAACTTTGAAGTATTAGAGAAGTCTCAGATTGAACTTTGAATTATTAAAGAAGGCATATAAGAATGAAGGAAGATAATTTTACACATTACCTTTCTCAGATTGAAAAGGAAAACGCTGACCTCAACATTAGAGAATAGAGAAGCTGTTTTGATCCATATTTGAAGATAAAAAAAATATTAGAAACCAATATGCTAGCAAAGAGGAATCTCATTTCATTTATATTCACTTATACAAATCTTCAATGATCACTCTCCGTGATTTTCTCCGAATTTGTTTTACTTCTCTCCCTAAAGTTTTATCTTTTTTACTGTAAGTACCGTTAGTCAATCTATCTTCTTGATTTTTTTTTTCATCTCTCTTGAAGTTGAGATATGCATACACTCTCTCTTTCTCCAAAAATCCATACTCTCTCTCTTCCCTTGAATGTGTTAATGGTATGTTTAGTTTGTACCACGCACTAATTTTAGGAAAAAAAGATATGTAAATGTTTAAAATAGAGAGTCAAAATAGAAAGACCAAATATGAAAGGCAATAACTATGGAAGATTTCTAAATTATTGGTGAATATGATCTAATTAAGAGAAGCAAGCAGATAATACAGTAGAAAACAAGAGAAATCAAGAGGTTGCTTTTGTTCCTCCTTAGGTTTGAAATTGTTTTTTTTTCATAGTTGATTCTTGATTGATTAAGAGTATTAGTTGGTTTACTTTTTCTCTTTGTGTATTTTCAGGTACGTTTTTTCTTTATTGATTTCATGGTTTTTTATTGTCTTTCATGGTTTTTGGTTTAGTGTTATGGTTTTTGGTTTAGTGTCATGGTTTTTAGTTTAATTTCAAGTTTCATGGTTTTTTTTTTTTTATTCTTGGTTTGGCTTACTTTCATAGTTGGTTTGATTTACTTTCATGGTATTATACATCTCATTTGATTAATGATTAGTTTCATACTATGTGTTAGTCGGATTCTCTCTCAATCTCCCTCTAAGTTATCTTTAACAGAACAAATCAAATATTTTGTACAAGTCTTTATCTCACTCGCTTGAGTAAGATGAGATTGTATATTTATAACACAAGATATACATACTTTTCGATATAAATGTGTTGTTACAACAATATTTTGAATTGATTTGACTTTATGTTTGTTACAATAACTATTTGAATGAGAATGACCACAATATAAGGGATAACAAAAATTTTGATGATTATGGTTTATCCTTTTACAATCTCGAACTTATCAAGTAAGATTGAAAAAGGAAAAGATCGGGCTTGACATGTGCCTTCCTTCTATTGGTTTATGACGGTGAAATCTCAAATTAGACGCATGGGTTATCAGAATGGCTAATTGTGATTAGAGATTAATTGTTCTCTCTTTGGTTTACTTTCTTTGTTTGCTGTATTTTCAGGTACGTATTCTCTTGATTGACCTCTATGTTTCTTCTTTCGTTTTATGGTTTTTTATTTAGTTTCAAGTTTCATGGTTTTTGGGGTTTTGATTCTCGGTTTGGGTTATTTTCATGGTTGGTTTGGTTTACTCTTAGAGGATATATTGTTTGTGAAATATATTATTGGCGTAATATTTTACCTGTAAATGGATTGTTACTGTTTGGGTAGTATTTAAATGTGACC